GTCTTCTGAGTTCCCATTGCTGTGATACAACATCCCCAAACAGAAAGGCAAAATGCAATTGTTTCTTAGGGAGTACAGCCAGGATTTCAGGGCTAAAAATCTTGCCCTTCAGTGCCAGGAGTCCCATCAAGACCTTAAGAAGTTGGCAGCAAAGCATTGTGCTGTTGCATTAAATTGTCCCTTCTTTGGGATTAGCAGAAAATTGCTTCCCATGATTTTCCCTTTTGTCAGTGTCACAGTCCAGGCCTAGCTTTGGATTTACACATATTGGAAAGCTGACACCTCCTTGAATGCAACTGCTCTGCTTTAAGGCAGGAGGTATATAAGAAGGCGAGGAGCTGGCTGGAACAAAGAGAAGTGGGGCTAGAGCCATAAATCAAGCAGCAGGAGGTGAATGAGAGGCAGTGTAGCTTATCGGTGAGAACAAGGCTGGGATCATGTCTCCCAGTTTTGATGCTCTTATGGGTGTGTTGCTGCTTTTCTCAGAGCTTCCTTTCTTTGTGCAAAACAGGGATGATGCAGCCTGTTTCACTAGATCTTTAAAAATGCTAAGTGTGTATGGAACAGGGAGAAGGAAGAGGTACACTGAACCAGTAAATCGGACCCTCTCATATCCTCACATCTTTCCATTGATGATGGCGATTCTCGCTTGGACTCCACTGAATTCCTGAAGTTTGTAGAGCAGAATGAGACTGCTGTCAACATCACCACCTACATGGACCAGGAGACCAACAAGCTACTCAGGTGAGCAGTGGACAGGATGGCAGAAAGTGGGCATGAAAACCCACTCATGGAAAAATATCCGTTAGGAAAAAATTTTAGTTTTGGAATATTATATTGTTAGGAAAACATTATTAGTTAGCACTAAAAAAGGTAACTGTGTATAAATCATAGATCATTAGAATAAAGGGACCTTTAAAGGTCATCTTTTCCATCATCCTGTAGTGAGCAGGGACGTCTTTATACCATGAAGTGGCTTCTCAGTTAGGTGTGAGTACCACCAAAAGGAGCAGTCCCAGTCCTACCCTTCATGTTACTCCTGTACTCCAACCCTCTTTTGCCTTAAATCTATTAGGTGTGCAGCCAGACAGTGAGTTGGATGACAGAAAATTTGTCTCCTTTTTTATTTCATACTAGATTATTTTTTCAGTGGAACTGACTCACCTTTGGCCTGATAGCTAGATCCAGTGCAAGGAAAGTGGTGGTGGGAAAACACAGCTCGTGGGCAGCCAGCAGTTAGAGCTGGTGCAAGCTTTGCATGAAAATGGAGTTTGAGAAGTTTACTTTTTTTCTGTGTGTGAGACGGTCAGGAGAATGGGCTGCTTGTGCCTAGGCTGTGCTTGTATCTCTACTCATGTGACAGCACGTAGATATTAGCAGGGTCCTATTCCTGACTCCCTGGCCCTTTCCCAGACAAGGAGTACTTTGTGTCCCTAAACACTAGAACGTGCCTCTGTGTTTTCTTTCAGGGGACTCTGTGTAGATGCCCTCATCGAGCTGTCAGATGAAAATGCTGACTGGAAGCTCAGCTTCAATGAATTTCTCAAGTGCCTGAGCCCATCCTTCAACCCACCAGAGAAAAGTAGGAACTCCTCATTTGTACTGGGGAACTAGAGGGATCCTGGGAGGGGAGGAAGCAAAAGAGTCCAGCTTTGGGCCAGACATTGGATGCCGTAATTCCACTCCCAGAGATCATGTTGCACCTCCCACCTGACAACACTCCTTGTCCCTGCATTGTCACAAGTATTTCTTTTCTGTCCCAGGACTCCCATAACTCTTGTGATGAAAAAGGTTTGGATATTAAAAGCAAGAGCAAAGGTCAAATGGGTATAGTGTGCTTGAAGGGTCAGGGCATGTATTTAACAGTGCCGAGATAAATCATGTGAGGAGTTCACATACAAATAACTTAGGGAAATCAGACCAGACCAAAGTCCTGTTACACTCTGCCTTTCACACAGAGAGCCTCCCTGATGAACATCTCAAAGTTTACTATCCTTCCAAATCCTGCTTAGTGCTACAGTTCATGTGGAAGCAGCTTAGCGTTCTGCTGACCAGGCGTGCTTAGCCCTTCATCTAATTGTCTCCTCAGGGAGTGCTGGTCCAAAGGTGCCAGATTTACAGCCCACTGCTGTGGCACCAGGAGCAGACAGAGGCTATGCTGCTTAGGAATATTAAGTTGAACTCTCTGTTGCCTGTTTCAGTGGGAAGCTAGGGATGCCACACCTGCCTTGGAAAACGCAACTGACGGCTTTTCACCTAACACCGTATGGGCTCTTGAGTGCTTTGGGGGCCTCAGCTTAAACATACAGCAGAGGTGTGAGAAAAAACGTGAGCTGGAATGAGAAACCTGAGGGGTTTTCCTTTTTTTTTTTTTTCCTAAGGGCAACAGCAAATACACAAATCATTTCCCCAGCTTCTCCCCAAGCAGAACAGGAAGTCTTGCATAGTAACCAAAACTTTCACTTTGGGTGTTCTCTTTTATGTGTAACAGATTAGGAAGTTCAAGCAAATCCAATTTTGAGATTTCATTTGGAATTGAGAAATTGACGTCTGTTCTTTTGAGGAAGAAAAACAAAGCATTTGACTTTACCAAATTAATTTTTGGCTGATTTCAGAGACCAAATTCAACATGAATATTTTGATCATAGTGAACTTTTGGTGGTTAGGGGAAGGTGGGTCTCCTCCAAAACCTTGTACCTCTTCTCTTCAAGGCATCTCCAAAGTACATTTTCTTTAGCCTGCTTGCTCTCTCTTAAGAATTGTCCTCATTTTTTGCCTCTCTAGAGTGTGCCCTGGAAGATGAAACCTATGAGGATGGAGCAGAGACCGAGGTGGAATGCAACCGCTGCGTCTGTGCCTGTGGGAACTGGGTGTGCACTGCAATGACATGCGAGGGTCCGTATGATCTCCAGACAATTACTGTATTTGGTTTTGTACTCCTTTTCCTGCATCACCCTCCCATGCTCCATGTTGGCCAAACCCAAGCTGGTTCTGATCCAGAGGTCAGAAAGCGTGTAACTAGCTTGGGGGCAACGCTGCTGGGGTTTGTAGTTTGGATTTGGTGTCACGAGAAATCAGGACCAAATCTTCCAGACCAGAGCTACGCTGCACCCAGCTGGCTTAAGGCAGGCACAGACCAAATGGATCGCAGTCTGCCACCACAGGTGTGAACAGGTCAGCTTTCCTGTATATGTGTTGGTATCCTCACTCTGTCTGTATTCACAATATCTGTAAAGCAGGAGCTAGGGTCTTTGCTTGAGCTTGTTTTCAGTACTGTAGGAGCTGTCAGCAGTGTGTTAGTTCAGATCTATAGCCAGCAGTTTGGGCAGAGTAGGAGAGAAGGGAACAGCAACAGTTTATTTCATGTTTATCTGACCTTCTGCAACAGAACCTTTGGGATCACCTCACCCCAGACTTGGCTGTGGCAGTAGGAACTCACCTCAGAAAAGGTAACTGTAATAGAGCTGCCAGTGGAGCTGTGGGTAGGTCTCAGAGGTTGAGACGCTTTTTGTTGCCTCCCCAGAAACAGTCTTCAAAATTGCTATGCAACACCCGATCTTGCTGCCTACTCTGTTCCTTGTGTCTGTGGCAGAAGCATGCAATGGGGCAACAATTTCTTGACTTTTTGCCCATGTCAGAGCAGCAGAGGGGTTAGAGGTTGTTGCTAGAGGGATAACGAAACCAAAGAATCAGATCAAATAGATCAGCAAGTTACATCTCCACTGAGCGAAATTACCTCTTCGTTACACACTAGCTATTGTACTTGATAGCACTGAGCTTCCATTTGTTCCCTAGAAAAGGCCAAGATGTTTGAACTAACTACAGGTGCTTCTTTTAAATAATAGGCAGCCTCTTCCTTGTGGTGGTTTTTTTTTTTTTTCCACATGGGAGGGAGAGACAGTGGCAGTTGGGATACCCAGGTTCCAAAGTCCCAGGCAGCCACAAGGCCCACTCTCTTTCAATGAAGCCAGCCCATAGCTTCTTCTAGCAAAACCTCCCTGAGCTTGAGGTGTGCTGTGGCTAACCTGCCTCTTTTTGTTGTGGGTGGTTTGGCCTTTGGAATTTGTATCCTCTGTTTGTGATAACACTGAGCTCTGTTTCATTTTGCAGGGAAGAATGATAAGGTGCCTGCTCAGAGACAGCGACCTAATGAAGACCTGACTGAGGAGGAGCTGGCTAGATACGTTCAGGAGCTGCAGAAGCATCAGGTTAGCATGAGTTGGGGAAGGTCTGCTTGCACTAAGCCTCTCCTTGCTGGAGGAGTTCCTTCTGCTTCTGTCACATGGAGACTTTGGTAGAAAGGGAGCACAGTAAATGAGGATCCCTGCTGCCTGTGGGGACAAACGTATTTATCCACCTGTAGGTGTGGGGCTTTGAGGTATAAGCCAGTGTTGGCACTGCTTGTGAAAGGCTTCAGGGCGCTGCCAGTTCACACATCAGTGCAGAGCCTCACTTTTGTGCTCTCTCTCTCCAGGAGACAGCTGAGAAGACCAAGAGAACGAGCACCAAGGAGATGTAAGGGGCCTCCAAGGCGGAGGAGCCCAGGAGGATGGGCCCAACCTGCCGCCCTGCCCTCCAGTGCTGATCTCAGTATGCACAAGTGTCTGCTACAGTTGCCCAGTCACAGATATTTACATTGTATAGCGATGGGTTATTTGTTTTGTAATACACAGAGAATGGGGCCAGGTAAGGGGAGCAGAGCCCACCTGTTCAGGGAGCTTCATTGCTGCGGCCTTGGAAGGCTGGGAGGGACTCACAGCAGCCTCTGGGACCCTTTCCCAGAGCAGGCAGCTGTTCACTTCAAGAGCTACAGCTGGGCTTTCTTGTTCCCCTGGGTCTGGGGAAAGGACAGAGGCCAGTGCTGGATAGAAAAGGGGGTCTTCAGTCGATAAAATTGTCAGCACCGGCCTTGGCTACAGAAATACAGACCCGGCAGTTTTGTGGCTGAGCATGTGTGCTGCAGGGCTTTGGTAGCCAAGAACTTTGCCCTGCTTACCCTCTGCTTTGGTTCGAGCTCCTCAAAGCTGGTCAGCCTGGTGTGACATCTGGAAGTCATGGTGCCACGCTGCTGGCATAAGTCCAGCACGTTCCTCCTTGCTTTCCACTGGCCTGTCCCCAGCAGCTCCTCCAGTACATTGTGGGCTCCAACACAACACGGTTCCTTTTGACCTCATCTCACTCTTGCTCTCCTTGCCCCCTCCTTAGAGGTGCTATGATATTTTTTTTCTTATCATGTTCACGTGCTGACTCCCCCTTTTGTTTTGGTTTTGGGTTTTTTATTACTTTATTTCCTACAGTAGTAATTCAGCTTTTGTATGTTTCGTAGCTCTAGATCTTTCAAGAAAACCCAGCCTGTGGGGGTTTTTTTATTGGCAGTGCTCTAATGCCCGTGCACAGTTTGTATGGCACTGCGCTCAGCCACCACAAACATCACAAGCAGCAACTTGTGAGCCCTGCGCTACAGGGTATTTCCTAGCTGGGAATAGCAGTGTCCCTCGTGGGAAAGAAGAGACAGGGCTGGGTGGGATTAGTTTGACCAGGCACGGATTGACACTGCAGCTCTCTAGTTCTTGCTCCCTTAGCTAGTATTGACCCACGTGTTCCAAGTCTGTGCTCATGCCTCTAGATTGCCCAGAGGGATGTGCCAAGTAGTCTAGAGATAGAGGGACCAGGCAATCGCATTAGCAGGGCATCTTAAAAGGCTTAACTCCACAGAAAACTGTCTAGTTGGAGTCAGGGCTTTTAGGCATCATCTTGTGCTTTCTATCTCCCTCAGGGGTGAGGCAGCAGTATTGTTCTTTGATTCCAGGTCTGAGTTTGAAGCCATTACCTTTGATCAGACCATCTTGGACTATGTTCACATCCCTTTATTTTTGTCTGACCCTTTTCTTGGAGCATCGGTCCTAGATGCAAATGAAATGCTGTTTTGCTGACAGTCACCTCTGTAGCTTCAAGCCCAGCTGATTTTCTCCTGCAGTTGTCAAATGTACTCCATACACTCACACATCTGAACATCCATTTTCCGCATTCCCTTCCACATCCCAAGCAGCTGCAAGTACCCCGAGATGCCTGCTTGTGACTTCCATCTTCCTGTTTGTGAGCAGCTTCAGCAGTTGTTGCCAAGTGTCTTGCAGCTCTTAGTGCTTACTCAAGGGAAGCTCCACATGCATCTGCAAATGAATATTCTGCTTGAGCGAAGATTAGCAGGACTTTTGTCCCAGTCTTCCCCTTTTTGCATAGTGTTTTCCTTGATGAGGAAGAATGAGCAGGTACCTAGCAAATGTAGGAAGAGAAGAAATTTTGGTCCCTCCTGTGGTCTTGCCCTTGAGCCAGATTTGTTAAAGCCTGTCTGGTCTTTGAGCTGTTTTCCTGATGTCAACCCAGAGGACTTCCATTGACTTTGGCACAGTGCCACATTTCCAGTGAGAATCATACTCTCCCCTGCCATGCTTAGAGATTTTGGCATAACACATAAATAAGGGGGCTGGTTCTTCTCCCATCAGGGTCTGGATTTCAGAAGCTGTCACCTATGGAGCTGAGGGGAATGAGTCCATAGGAGCTGAGTTGAATGTGGGCAACGCTACGCTAGGACAGAGTCATTGTTTGCATTCTGGTTGCACTGGAGGAAGTGGTTGGTGGAATTAGGAGCACTCATTAGACATAACCTTGCTCCTCCTCAACAGTATGAGTAAAACAGCATCATGTGCTCGATCCGGAGTACAAAAACATTATTAGTAAATGTTTTTTGTTATTCTGACCCTGCTCTGAAAGGTAGTTTGTATCTCCCAGCTCATTTCTTTCCAGCTTGGATTGTTAAAGTGCCTTAGAGAAAACACAACAGCTTGCCTTAAGGGCTTTCCCTGGATGGAGATATCATCTTATTACCCAGTCAGGAAAAATCTCCAACCAGGAGAAGCAGAGTATGTGCGTGAAGGGAGGCTGGTCCACGGCTGAAGGGCTTTTGTAGGCTGCATTACATGGTATGTTCTCTAGTCCCTTTCCTGTCTCCTGTGGATGTGTGGTCTAGGAGGACGGCTGCTGGGGACAGCTGAAGAGGTGCGTGCTGGCAGTGGAGGTTTCCAGAACTTACGCTTGCACCGAAAGCAGAGCTGTGGGCAACTGTCTCCAGCAAGGAGAGCTGAGCTCTCTGACAAGCCATACAACATACCCTAGGGTAGGAGTGCAGTGAAGATACCTCCAGAGAAAGGGCTGCCGAGCCTTTTCCGCCTTGTGCCCTCAAAAAGGGAAACGCAACTGTGGAGAGCAGTGCCGGTTCTAAGGGCTATGGCACCCAAAGGGAAACATCTTGCCTCCCCACCTCAAGAGGAAGAGTGATGCCCAGGCTGTACCCCAGGGCAGTCTGGCCGGTCGCTAACTTCTGCAGGGTGACTTGGCTGCCGGGGAGGACATGCGGAATTCCAGCCATTGCCCTCTGGGACAATTGCTGTACAGACTGCAAGGGGCAGGGAAGGTTTATTTTTTGTTTGTTTGTTTTCCTCCAAAAAGCCAAATTTAAGCAACAAAGTCCCACTCCTCCCTCTATATTCCCTCCTATACGTGTGTGAAATTTATCAGTATTCTGTAGGTTTCCTTAGTGCACTTATTTTACTTGATTTTGTAATTGTTTTGAAGCAGGGGGGTTTGGATATTACTGCCAAATAAATGAAACAAAATTTAAAAAGTAACACTTGTTTCTGTTTTATTTCTCACAAGCTATGTTCCTTATTCACCTTTTCCACAAAAAAAAAAAAAGAAAAGCTGGCTTTTTGCACATTTATACACAAATCTTAACTTGACAAATGTGAGACATGACTGTCTCTGTTTTATACCTGGGGAAACTGAGCAGAAAGAAGCAAAAAGTTGCAATCACGTGGTGAGCCAGCAGCAGAGATGCAGCCAGCAGCCACAACTCCTGCCTCGCAGCCATCCGCTTTCAGTGATATCGCTCCACAATCCTTTCTGTGTCCCCCATTTGCTCCCCCAGCACACGCTAGCAGTACCTTTCACAAAACAGGTTGGCCAGGTGGAAAGAACATGGAAGCAAGTAAAAATAATACCAGAAAATGTGTCTTAAAATGACAGATCAGACGTCTTAGGCAGGGTTAAGAAGGAAGGTTCTAAATGTTTGCCTTAAGGTGGGGACTGCTACCAAGACGAACATCACCATCTCGAGAGATGAATTCTACCCATCCCTGCCAGGTTCAGTTGCTGCGGTCAAGGTGGATCTAGATGAGACATTGGGAAATGCTTCTGAATGTCAAGACTAGCAGAGAACTGGAAGATGCCTCCTTGCTATTCCACAGACTTCCTCCTTGTATGGATTTTGAGAACAGACTAGATAACAGCTATCGGGAATAGAACAAGTACAGCTGATCCTACCCTAAGGTAGGCTGGTGACCCTCCTGAGGTCCCATCTGTTTCTGATAGGACCTTATGAAGACAGGGTGAAATGGCTCATATCACCTTTGCCTAATGGAAGGATGAAACAGCCTTTAATAGTGTCATGGCAGGAGGATAATGTCTTACCATTCGTCTTCCCTCTAACTGTTACGGACTCCACAACTTCTACTGCTGTGAGCTCTCATGTGCAAAGGACAGTCCAACAGAAGAGAAGGCTGCTTTGCTTTGTTTCACTTGGCATGCTCCTTCCCAAGCTGTTAAAAAAAACCAAACATAAAACCCCCACACACAAACAAATAGTGAGCATTGCCTCTTTCATGTTACTTGTTGCACCAAATGGCCTCTGCAGCATGTACCAGCTGCTGCCTAAGCAGTCTTAACTGTGGGTCTGCCGTACTGCTTTAATTTCTACTGCTAGAATTTCGCAGGATTTTAAGAAGGAATGAAAGGCAGAGTCAGCCAGGAATTTAGCTAGATGGCACTGTAAATACTTTGCCTTGTGCATCATGCATACACTAAAGTGAAGTGATTTTGGGGTGGGAGAGAGGAAGATTAGGAAGGCTGTTGCCCACCTCTAGCCTTGGAAAACCTCAGACTTTTCTGCTTATGGAATTAAGCCCATTGGAGTATTAGTGAGCTGCCACATTATGTAACTAAATGCACTTAACCACAAGTCTCCCGCACTGTTAAAAAATGAGAAGCTGTTTAAGTGGTTGATCAAGAACTGAATATGTAAGGTATTTATTAACTTTAATTCTGAAGATGGGAACAAACTAATGTATCATAAGACTTCCTGAAAAAAATCTGAACCAGTTCACAGGACACAACTTTGGGAGAGCACAGATTTAACGCACTGCGGGAGACGAGCAAGATCCAGATGACCTTACTCTTGCACTTACATAAAACCTCCCATAAACTATCCCGGTCCAGCTGAAACAGCATGACCTTTATAGAGTGGGCAAAATTATGTTAAACTATAGTGGTATGTCATCTGTTCTTAGGCAGCTATCTCTGGGTTCACACTCACTCACCTGTGAGTCCATAGAGACTTATAAAACAAATGAAAAAAGTCCAACGCAAGGTGACCTGTTCATTCCCACCCATGACGGCACACCCTTC